CACTCACGCACATACAGACACACAGTTACAGCCACAGCGAGAGAGAGAGAGAGCGAGCACACACACTCACACATATGCAATGAGTACACAAATTACCGTTAGTTTCCAACGAACTTTGTCAATTGTTTGTCTTTTGCTTTATTTTCGGTCAGTTTTTATCCTTCAAACAGCAATTTGATTAATTGGCTGTTTTCGCTTCCTCTTCTTGGGCATTCGCTGTTTTGCACTTTATCCTCCCTCGCAGCACCCTTCCGGCAAACACTTGAGCCAAGACGGAGACTACCAACGCGACCAGCGACCAGCGACACAACAAGGCAACGCGACTCTGCCGTCGATCTGGCCCCAGAAAGTGCAGAGCGGCCGCAGCACAGCCAAAAAGCCAAAAGGGGGCAAAAATCACACACACACACGCGTACACACTCACACACACAGACACAGAAGCGTGCTTTTAAGGGTTGCCATAATTTTGCAATGCGGCTGCTGCTGCGATTGGCAACCCAGTGGGGAGCCCTAAAGGCGCCTGCGCCTGATTCGACCCCAAACTAAGAGTGCCCAAGTATGCGTGCGTGTGTGTGTGTGGGGGGGTATATTTGAATCATGGCGCCTATATATCGATTATTATGAATAATTCATCTATCCAATTAATAGCAGCCATATAGATCAAAGTTAATAGCCCCAATATACATAGATGTATGTATATATGTATATTGATTTCTGCTAATTTATGGCTATATTTCCCATAGACATCATACGCTCTTCATATCATGCATCATTTCTAGAGCTTCTGTTAATCCCAATATTATACAATTTACATCATTTTGTAATGAATAAAATATATTTTAATATGCATATGCGTTCAACAGATTATTAAATATGGGACAAACGGAATATTAAATAATACAACAAATATTAGTCAGCAATATACATGTGTATTTGTATATATATGTGTGTGTATTTGAATATATGTATGTATGTATATATAGAAGAATCGTTGAGCACCTTTGATTCTTGAACCGAGTCTCTAGACAGAGTCTAGATTTTCAATCTAACGCATTCTTGATCGAACTCTATTTGTGAGATATTTCTAAATTAGAACTGAAGTGGATCTTCAACATTTCCTAATTATATATATTACAAAGTTGATTGCTGTTGTTGTTGTTGTACTCGCTGCATTTTCGCATTTCGATATCAAATATACTTTAACTATGTGCACATATTGACTTATATTGAAGATTGCATTAATTATTATGGAACAGGTTTCAAATAATGATATTAATCATGTTTTGTACAGTGGAACTAGAGCATAACAACGAACATCGCTCTCTCTATCTCTCTCTCTCTCTCTGTCTCACTCACTCACTCTCTTGTCGTGTGTGTCATTCTGCTGCGGTTCGTGTCTCTTTCTGTGCCGCTGCCGTCTCGCTTTGTCCCGCTGGCTGATTGTGGCACGCACTGCTCCCTAGCTCACATTATAGTATTTATGTATACATTTATATATAAATATATATATATTAATATATTTATACGTATATATACACAAAGTATTTGTATAGTACATATTTTATAGAAAGTTATATACAGAGACCGATGTACATTCAAAACTCATGTAAAAAGCTACACTATACGAAACACTTTAAAACTTAATATATAGGCTAAAAATTATAACAGTTGCACAGGCGCCCTGCCCCGAATCCTCAGGCGAAATGCTCTTGGCATCGCCTCGATTCTCTTCACATTGGAACATCCACTGGCCGTCAGTTGCCGTGCGGATCCCGTCGTCGCCTGGCCTGCTAATTGTATTAAATTCTGATCTTGATCCTCGTTTGTTTGTGGTTTTCTTATATGCTTGTATGCTGTTTGATTAGGTCACTTCACCACACTTCACTGCTTTGGCAGCATCTCGGCAGCTGGCGAGGCGGCAGCGCTCGCATTGGCATTAACATTGGCCGCCGACGGCGTCATGGATGTGGGCGCAGTGGGGTCAGCTGCATCCCCGCCGTAGCAGCGCCGCTTGTAGTCACCAAACAAGTCCGGCCGGTGCTGCAGGTCGCGCTGCGGATCGACGTGCACGGATTGAGTAGTGTTTCTGCCATATAGAAAGCAACTTCATTGAATCCAAACTTCATTTTTGTTCTTGATTTCGAGATAGATATTGACGGACTCACCTAGTCTTCGTTAGAACGGTGCAGCCATTCTCGACGACCATGCTGAGCGAGTAGAGCGTGGCCAGGTTGAGCAGGCTATCCTGCTCGTACAGCTCAATGTCCGGCAAACGGATTTGAGTCTGGCGCGCATCCTGCAGGAAGCGCGCAAGCCGTTCATTAACGCCTAATTTAATGCTGAAACCGGGCCGGTCGTTGCCATTGATGCGTCGGCAGCCGGCGCGTATCTCGCGCACCTCCAGCATTTGCAGCGGCGGCGACGAGGAGAGGAATGGATTGGATGTCTCGCCGGACATCTCGCTCTCGATCTGCTTCACGATGGTTGGCATGCCATTCATGCTGCGCTCCGTGTCCATGCAGATGTTGACGTCAATGAAGCCAACACTTCGATTGGCGCCCCCGCCGCTGATCTCAATCGGCTCTGAGCTGGCGGCCAGCTGAAAGCGTGACAAGTCCTGCAAGGCATCTGTAAGCGGAGGCGACTGTGAGGTGCCGCCGCCGTAGCTATCTGTGAAGGGCATCGTTGCTGTGGCCTCCGTGCCAGACATTAGCGTGTCATCCTCGCCAATCGTATCATCGGAGCGTATTTGGGGTAACAGGGATTTCTTGGTCAGCTTCCGCTTGGGATCGTATTTGCCGGGGCCAAATTCGTTGCCGGGCCAATCGGTCAGCTCGTCGTCGCCCTCGCGATCCGTATCGTGCAGTCGATGGCCATCATCGCTGTCCGACGAGGAGCTCAGCGAACTGGAGCTAAGAAAATCGTAAAGCTCACTGCAGTCCATCGACTGCACCTGCAGCGATTGCGGCGTCTGGCAGAAGCGGCGTCTGCGATGCGACTTCGTCGTGGAGCCACTGCCATGGATGTGGCCATAATGCGATTTCTTGCGATGCATTTGATTGTAGTCTGTGACTGCGCTGTCCGCAGACAGCTGCAGCGGCATTTTATCCGAGTGATTCAGCAGCGTCTCAATGTCGCTGACAGGCACAAGTGTTTCCATGCCGAAGCCACCAGGGCCAGCACAACTAGCTGAACTCTCGCTCAGATCTCGCTGTTGTTGCTGCTGCTGGTTGGCCGCTGTTTGTGCAGATTGGAGCAGCACCTGCGCCTCTGCCTGTTCCGGCTCTAGGCCCTCCTCCATGTTCGATGTATTGTCAGTCTTTTGTGCTTGTTGCGTTTGATTTTTCGCAATGCGATTTATCTTGGAGAGCAGCCCCTTGTTGAGTGGCAGTAGGCGATCGCTGTGCGGCTTCGATGTGGATGAATAGCTACGGGGTCGCATCCTATGGTACTCCTCCATGTGCGTGTAGCGTGGCATGCTCGATGAATGTAAATTGCTGGAGACGGCACAGCCGCCACCGTCACGTGCAACGCTAGCGTCGTGATCGCATTCGTGATAGCGATCACGATTGGAGCGCTTCCGTTTGCCGCAAAAGAACAAATGCGATCGATTTCCGCTCTCCGCCTTCAGCAGACGTTTGCGTACTGTGCCCGTGCCGGAGATGCAGCCTCCTAGCATGCCCGGATGCAGCGGCGACTCCGTGAAGCTATGCGGCGACACAGCCAGGTTGCTGTCTTTACTAAACTCAAACTCCATGGACATACGCTTGATCTTTCGTTTCCGCCGAGAATTTGGCTTGTAAAAGCTAAAAAATCAAAACGTAATTATTTGGCTAGGTGTGCTAGCAGGTGCATCAACTCACCGCGCTGGACTAAAGGTGGTCTCGTTCAATGAGTCCGACTCAAGGGCTCCTGTGCCCATCCGAACGGCAGCTGCAGCGTTGAGTGCCTTGACAGGAAGACGCAGTGGAAGCATTGCCTCTGCCTTGTCATCCGAATCACTTGCCGGCAGCATGTCAACGTGTATATGAGGGTCCAAACCATCCACGTTCGCATTGGCATTTGAATGTGCTCCGTGTCCGAGTCCGTGTGCATTATTCAATGTGTCTGTGGGGCTGCTCGACGAATCCTCTGTGGGCTGCGGCGCACAAGCTGCAGGTGAAGTGAAGTGGAAATGAAGTGGTTTCCATGATTTCAGAGGGAGGGGCACATATATCTTGGTTGAAATACTTACGCAAATTACCCGTTGATCGAGTTCTTCGACGCGAGCCCCACCTACCGACGCCGCACGCCCTGTCCATGAGCGATGTCTCCTCCAGGGCGAGGGTCAAGTCGTGCGAGAACTGATCCATTTGCACCAGCACACCCAAATATCAATTGCGTTTCATTAAATTATTGCGTGTGCGTACGCAAAAAATGTAGTGCCAAAAAATATAAATCCAAAGACAAGCCTCAACAATTGGCAGCAGTTTACTCCGATGGCAATATCGATTTTATACTTTCTATCGGCAGCATCTTATGCGTGTCCTCTGGTCACATTGAGCTGCAGAGAAAGCCAAATCGGTTAAAGTATGTTGACCGACTGTTAAAATAATTCTATACATGCTATAAACAAAATCGAATTAAACTGTCTTTAAATTCTTTATTATTATTATTTAATTTAACATATGAAAAATAACTATCATTTTAATTGTGTTATAAAAACAATAGAAACAACTAGGTTTATTCATTGTTTCACAATAAAATAAACACGAACAAAGTAAATATCTGGTGAACATATACATAAAGTATCTAACGTCATGTAACATAAACTTTCTCTATAAATCAATAGGATTTTAACCCAATGCTACGGGTCACTTTTGAATAAGGAAGTTTTATCGTTATGAGTCCAATAACCCCATTTAGCAGAATTTTAATTAACGATAAAAATTAATTTTCTGTCTTTTTCCCTCATTGTATTATGTTGGTATTTTTACATGAATATTTTGTAAAATGCATTTGGTCACATCAATGCCTTGACACAGTGAAATGCAGAAGCTCATGTTCGAAAATAAGTGTTTTCGTTATACTTCGCTCCCCTACTTGACGATTTGTTCGAATTGACGTAAATTTTGTTGCAATCGTAAACTCAATACGCGCAACAATTGTCAGCCAGCGACAACAACAACTTGAATACGCAGCAGCCGCTACGTTCTGTTTTAACTCTGCCGGTTGCCAAAAGAAAAAGTAAAAAACGCCGCGTTTTTTAATTAGTTTGTTATAAATTGGTAAAAACTTTTTTAAAAATGAGTCGCCGACGCGCACATGATACCGAGGATGAGAGTTTCGGTAAGTAAAGCTGAACTCACCGTTTCAGCGAAACTCTAGAACCAATTTATGTTCGCAGACCACAGGAGAAACAAGCGACGCCGCGTCTCAGAGAACCAAGAGATCGAGGACCGCTTGGAGTCGCTTATATTGCGTGTGGGAGAGCGCAGCACCTCGTCGGTGGAGTCGAATCTCGAGGGTCTTGTCTCAGTGCTTGAGGCCGATCTGGGCACATTCCGATTGAAGATCCTGAGGATTCTGTCCGATTGTGCAGTTCGCATGCCCGAAAAGTGCACCGTATACACGACCCTGGTGGGTCTACTTAATGCCAAGAACTATAAATTCGGTGGCGAATTCGTCGATCATATGGTGAAAACGTTTAAGGAGTCTCTTAAGCTATGTCGCTGGGACGCCGCACGCTATTCACTTCGTTTTCTAGCCGACTTGGTCAACTGTCACGTCATCTCAGCCACCAGCCTCCTACAGCTGCTGGACACAATGATCGATGTGTCCAATGAGGATACAGTGCCGCAAGTGCGTCGCGATTGGTTTGTGTTTGCGGTGCTCTCCACTCTTCCGTGGGTGGGCCGAGATCTATATGAAAAGAAGGAGTCGGCACTGGAATCCCTACTGCTGCGTATTGAGGTGTATTTGAATAAGCGCTCGAAGAAGCATCATAATGCGCTGCGCGTCTGGTCATCGGATGCGCCACATCCGCAGGAGGAGTATCTGGACTGCCTGTGGGCGCAGATACGTAAGCTGCGGCAGGACAACTGGGCTGAGAAGCATATACCGCGGCCCTACCTTGTCTTTGACTCCATACTGTGTGAGGCCCTGCAACATAATTTGCCGCAGATCACGCCGCCGCCCCACCATGTTTCGTTTGAGTATCCAATGCCGTGGGTGGTCTATCGCATGTTCGACTATACCGATTGCCCAGACGGACCCAATCTGCCGGGTGCCCACTCCATCGAGCGGTTTCTGATTGAGGAACATCTGCATCATATCATCGAGACGCATCATCATGAGCGCAAGGACTGCGCTGCACAGCTGCTCAACTTTCCATTCAAGCACAAGATCCCATTGGAGTACTGCATTGTGGAGGTCATCTTTGCGGAGCTCTTCCATATGCCGACGCCACGCTATCTGGACATTTGCTATGGCTCCATACTAATCGAACTGTGCAAACTGCAGCCGGGCACCCTACCCCAGGTGCTCGCCCAGGCTACCGAGATCCTGTTCATGCGCATCGACTCCATGAACACCTCGTGCTTCGACCGCTTTGTCAACTGGTTTAGCTACCATTTGAGCAACTTCAAGTTCACGTGGTCCTGGGACGAATGGGACAGCTGCCTGCTGCTCGATGCCGAACATCCGCGCCCCAAGTTCATACAGGAGGTGCTCCAAAAGTGCTTACGGTATGATGATAGCCCTCATTATGTTCCGCACTTACTTTTAACTATAATTGAATGCGCTTCATTTCCAGTCTGTCCTACCATCAGCGCATTACCGAAATGATGCCCACAACATATGCGAAGCTGATTCCGGCCCCACCTGTGCCCAACTACAAGTACACGAACGAGGAGGCTGGTAAGTTCCAAATGTTTTAGCCTAGAGTTGATAACAATCAGTTGCTGAGCAAAAATTCCAACAATTTTTGTCGTTCCATTTGTGTTTGACGTTTTAGCCAGGCAACTTGAGTCAAGTTTTGAACAGGATTCGAATTTCCAAACCAGCCGCCCCACGAAAACAACTCGATTCCCTTCAAATGTATATTGTTTTGGCATGAAAATAACATATATATATATGTGTAGATTTATTCAGTGCTCCGCATTAGAATCTATGTTAATACAAAACTTGAATCAAGTAAAACAAGTAAGAAAGCTCTAGTCGAGACTGCTCGACTACGAGATCCCCTG